GATTCTGGTCTAAGGTTGCATCAATTGCTAGCAGATTTTCATTTTTATTAAAACTGGGGATGATGTCCAGAGCCATGTCTTTGTGCTAGTTGCACCAAAGTGAAGCAGGAGGGTTCTGTTGTATTCTAATGAGTGTGGAAACTCAACAATATCATTATGATCTGTTTAATAAGAACTGTATAGTCTTTTAAAGCAAATATGTTGTTGAACTTATGCTTAAATATTTTTGAAAAGTAGCAAAATTGTGCAATAGTGTGCTTGTTCAGCACGTCTACATATCGGATGCGTTTACACGTTCATTAGTGCGCTTTTGCTACTGGGCATTAAATGTACTATCTCTACTAAATGTGCATTAGGCTGCCCTGATGCACAGTAGTGAAAGCACATGCTTGCTTAGTGACACTTAATGTGCAGCAGCCTAATTTTACTGCGCATTAGCGTATTAGCACAGTTTTTGCTGTGACACTAATGCACGGTAAAATAGGCTACTCTGCATTACAGTGCACATGTAGACACGTCCATTGTGACCCAAACATATATTTTAATAAAAGGACTGTTTCAGAATTGACACTGAAAGAAGCCCCCTCCCAATGTGCCTGGGGCCAGGGGCCAGCTGCTGGTACAGCCAGCAGAGCTCTCCTGGCTTCATGCACATTGGGACCTACCCTGTCCCCCTTGCCAACCCCAGGGCTAGCGCACACACACTGTAGCTCCCCCTGGCTGCTGCAGGGGAACAGAGCTGGGCAGAAGCAGCCTTTTACTGGGCTGCTTCCCTTGGGAGCAAATCTGCTCCCAACAGGGTTCATGTGTAGACATGCTTCTGGGGAAGGCTTACTGCACAATATTTTATTTAATGCAAATTAATAGCACATGTAGACTTATGTTGTATTCTCTGAATACTGGATAAGCCAATGGGAGGAAAATCAGACCCATTGTCTGCTTTCCTGCCTTGCCGTTTCTTGCTCCCAAATCTATTTCTTCACCCTTTGACTTTCAGCTCTACTTATTGTTTAAAACCTGTTGTTTGGCTTGAAATATTAATCCCTTATTTATTTCTAAATTGCCTTCCTGACCTGAATACCATGTACTTGTTTTAACCTTTTACAGTTGATCAGACACTTGCAGTATCTTTTGCTTTATTTACCCTTCCATTACAGTCCTCCTCCCATCTACTCTGTTTTCCTCCTATTGCCTGCCTTAATACCTGGTGGGTGCATCTACATGTGTGGTTTACCATGGAGTAGACTAAGTAGCTGCACAGTAAAGTGTCACTGTCTACATGTGGAGCGGTATTAGGCCACAGTAAACTAATTAACTCTGCTGTAAGATAGTCTTATGGTGGTGTAATTTACTATGATTAAATGCATGTGTAGATGCTGATCACTGGCTTAAATTGCACCCAGCCAGCCCGGGGCCAGACTTCTGCCTGCTGCCAAGCCACATGACTCAGCACTTCAGGACTCTCATGCCCTAGCCAGCCCCTCCACTGCCCAATGCTACCACCCAGAGCCTGGGGCTGATGCCCTAAGCCCCTTGCCAGCCCAGGCCTGCTCTGCTCTGGCTAAAAGTTGCTGCTGTCCTAGGTGCATGTGTAGATGCTACGCCTGGGAGTAGTTTACTTTGGATCAAATTGCTCCAGAGCATATTGCATCACATTAATTTCATTTGTAGACACACCGGCTGTTAACTACTCTGACTTTTCTCTTTCCTGCTTTGCATATCCTTTTTTAAGACTTCTGTATTTAAGGCACTGTTTTCTCCTTATGCCACATTGTCTAAATTGTTCTTTGACATTTGACATTTCTTCAGCTTTTCTTCTGTGGGATACAGCAGGACAAGAATGGTTTACATCACTGACTCCCAGTTATTACTGAGGAGCTCAAGGTTTCATTTTAGGTACAAAGTATAAGTAGGAGGAATATGATGAGCAAAGCTGCCAAATCATTATAATTAAGTAGATATAAATGCCCCTTTCCAAAAAAACTGAGTGTCATTCATTAAAAATAGCGCCGAAGAGCAATTACCATAACTCTAACAGTATTCCTGTATGGGACCTAATGTTGGCTCTTGGTCTTTAGCCAGGAAGCACTGGTTTCTTTAAAATGTTTTAAATTAAAAAGTTGCAGACTTCATATTTCAGGCAGTCTATCCCTTGAGCAGATGAATTCTTGGCTTTGTAGTGAATATTCTGTTTGGTGATTTTTGTTTAATCACCATACAAATTGGTTTCAGATCTGCTCTAAGACATTTTAATGTCTTTATGAAACCATCTCAGCCTGCTTCCTGAAAAGTTTGGTGTTTGGAGCACAAATAATTTATGGTAGATCTCATTTTGTGCAAAAGCATCAGTTGAAAAATTGATCCCTATTGTCAAGGGATTATGAGGATTGAATAATGTGCTGTACAGAATGTACCTTCCTTCCACAACAGCACCTGCAGCTTCAATTAGCAACAAGTAAGCACAGCTGTGGAATTACCAGTAATGAAAAGTCTCCTCTTAAAGGAGTTAGGAAGAAGCCATTTTTTCTCTCTAATACACATATATGCATGCTTCACTGCCCCCTTTAAAGCATACCTTTCTATTTTAAAATGCCCTGGAACTGTTCTGTCAGCTCTTTAATTCAAGGGTAGTAACAGTCATGAGGTCCCAGCTGTCTGGTTGGGCTTAAATATTACAACCCCAGGGGTTCAGTTCCTTTTAGCATTAAGCTCACTTTGAGTCATTGGGTGTTAGAACAATAATATGTCAGTTTTCAGAGTGATCACATCAGGGGACAAGTCTCTCTATAAATTCTTCAGATTATTTTACTCTAAACTCAAAATAAAGCAATACGTCAGAAAACAGCGTAGTCCTAGTGCAGTCAAAATAACCCAGATATCTGAAGTTGGCAAGATCCCTTTCTTTTGTCACTAGTAATTACTAATGATGTCACTTATGGATTTGCAGTAATATTTTGATGTGTCTGGAAAGTTTTATAAATTATGCTCTCAGTTAGTTTCCCTGGAGATTCCAATCTATGGCAGGTGTAGCAAGTGCATTTTAGGTTTGTTCTTTCCTTGAAGCCTGGTTGAAGGCAGACAGAAGAGAGAGACTTGTTTTACTAGGAAACACTCAATGCTCTTCACAAGGATGTGGTTCTTTGCCAATAAAGGTAGAAAAATAAGATAGTTATGTTGTTGCAACTGAACATGAATGAACAGAAAGCAGCTTTCCCCCAAGCCTGGATTGCTACAGCTATGGAGGTTGAAGACAGTAGTGCACTATATATCCATTTATAGCTAATGCAGGCTTGTTTATACCCTTGGGTCTATAGGCATTTTCATACAGTTTGGTTCTCAGAAACATTGTGCACCTATTGTCATTGGAGCTGAGGGTGTTTAGTGTTCATGAAAGTCAGACCCACAATATGCATCCCCAAATTGGCATCAGTGCCTTCCAGGTGTAACTTGTGTTCTGCTGAAGTTATTGGTGCTGTTGGTTATAGATGACATTTCTCTATATATGGTTTTGAACTAAGATGCTTTTTAGCCTAGCCCCAAAGCCCAGATTCTCACTGCCCTCACAATGGAATTATTTTTGTCTAATTCCAAGGATCCTTATAAGTTTCCATTTGTCAGCTTTCAGTTTTGGTGAACACATACCTATGTGTAGAATACACTCTATGACAGGGAGCTGAAATCATGGTACAGATGAGGGAAGTTGCAGTCTAATGAGAGCCTAGAAGCATGAACCCCCTTGAAAAGTCTTATAGAATGGAGTGATGTTGTAGATATCATCCAAAATGGACTGATGATATAGATATCACATACAAAAATCCTTGCCTCTTAGCAAATGGAACAACACAGATGAGTCTAAGGGCGCTTCTGTTATATCTACGGAAGTCTGTAGTGATACACATGTGGAGGTGTAACTACATAGCTGGGCACCTGGAACACATGGGGGCAGCCATGAATTCTGGCTGCTGCTGTGCTACCACCAGGACAGTTGTGCAACTGCAGCAGCAATAATTTTGTCCCACTCCCTCCCTCCACCAGGTCAGCACCAGGGTGATTGTCCCAATCACCTTGCCTTAGTTCTTTTTTAGCCTAGCCTCATAGTGTTGTTGCTGTACTCATGCAGCAAAACGACTTCAACTTGAACCCTTTTCCATTCAGGGCTGAAGTTAGGGCAAGTGATCTAATTTGTATCTCTACAGTATTATGCAAACACAATTGTACTGTAGCAGCTGATTGCTTTCCTTAACAGCATCTCCCCCTCCCCTTTTTAAAGCAGCTAAAATGTATGCTTCTCCGTACATTCTCCCACCTATATAGTTGTGCCCATAAAAGATATTGCCTCCCCTCAAAAATCCTGCTTCTTACATATTCCTAGGACCAGTTTAGCTATATCACCACCACTGCCTTAAGCTGTATATCAGAGAGCAAGCTGCAGGAGAATTTTTTTAAATTGCAAAAGGTAATCTTTCCCCATTTCTTATAACCATTTAGTGGGTTTCAATTGATTGACTGCTGCTTACTTTATTATTTCCCATTACACTGATTTTCTTGTCTTGCAGTTAGCATTTAGGTTATGAACACTGTTTTGTGCATAACTCTTGGGCGTACTGGACCAAACTGACCCCAATTATAGTGCCTTCGGAATTACTAACTATTTGCATGGGCAAAGGAAAGAACTTGGCTGGTTGCTCTGAACACGGCAAAACATAAAGAGGAGCAGAAGTCCCAGTGGCAGCAATAAATACTATAACTCAGCAGTCTGTGCAGGAAGCCCCATATGGCTGGTTTTCATTGGACTGGTGGACTTTAGGAAATGTCATCTTAATGGATCTTTTTAGCTCAGCTTCAGATGAAAACCCACGGACTCCATGCTGTCTGTGGTGCTTAAATCCATCTGTCAAACATCTCTGTTCCAGCTCACACCAGGAAGCAAATAGAAGAGAGTGACCACTTTCATCTCCTGAGAAGCATAAAGGACCACAGCTGCTGTTAAATGGAAAGATGTGAAGACAAGGACATTGAAGGGAATGGAGAGAGGTAATATTTGTAGTACCCCAACTTTAAAGTACTCTAAAAAGTGAGGGACAAATCATAGTAAAAGGGCTGGAAGGGACCTTATGACGTCATCTAATTCCATCCCCTGCTCAAGACAGAATCATCCTTGATTAAGCCATCCCAGACAAGTGTCTGTCTTAACCTGCTTTTGAAAATTTCCAGGGATAGAGATTCTACCCCGCTGATGATTACCAGGGCACCTGCATTATAACAGCATCACTAACTTCTTTATTGACCAAAAGGCTTAGAGCAGGGATCAGTAACTTATGGCCTGTGGTCTGGATCTGACCCCCAGAGCCATAGCTTCACAACATAGAGCAGCGGGGTGTTCTCTTTGCACCATACCCATCAGGCTCCTGGCAGAGGAGGATGTCTTCCTGTGTCATGATGCAGTTGGGTGCCTAGGCTTTGGCAAAGGGGGAGCTCTCCTTGTGTAGGACCACAGCTTGCTCCTTGCTCCTACATACCTCAGTCTTGATCTGAGTCATTCTGGTCCCCTGCTGGAACACATTGCCAACCAACCCGTGGCTTAGAGACACCTAGAGGCTAGGTTTGAGCAAGGCCTGGGTCATAGCTAGACCCAGAAGTGTTTATGCCAGGTTACTGGTATCTGGTAGGGCAATGCCTTGGAAATGGGTCCTTTGTACTGGTTCTAAAATAGGGTGGGAGTGGGGCCTAAAAGGACCTGAAGGTGGAGTCATTAGAACACCTCAGTGCTAGCAAACCTACTATACTCCCTTGGGGAGAAGGGGTTCTGATTGTGGGTTGCAGGTTAACTGTGCGATTAGCATCCCTCCCAATTAGTACACTCACATGTGATTGCAGCTGAAAGTGAAGGCCATGGATCTTCTCTCCATTTAGGGGGAGGAGAGCACCCAGTGGAGGAAGAGCCATTGGAACCAAGCCGAGTGTCAGAGGATTGTGGCACAGGTAGGGCTGTGTGAAGCTTTGGCCCCTTAGTCGATTTGGCGGTTTGGTGGCAAAATCTCCAAATCCAAATCGAATCAGAGGACCCTTTAATCTCTCCAAATCAAATCGGAACCCTCCAAATCGATTTGGAGAGATTCAGAAAGATTCAGCAATTCAGACATAGACACAGCTTTAAATGTTTTTTCTACATACCTCTAGGTAGCAGTGGCTCATGAATGCTGCGATGCTGGGGCAGATGGAGCGTCCCACAGAAGCGCAGGGGGCTCCCCAGTGTGCTTGGCAGCAGACCCAAGCACTTCCGGTCCACTTCCAAGTCTGCCGGGGAGCACGTGGTAGGGCCTTCCCGTGTCTCCCCAGTTTAGCAACTGGTGCCTTCTGGGTCTGGGGGGGGGGCACCCAGGGTCCCCCTGTGGCCGATCGCCGAGCTGGCGGGCGAGAATGCAGGGGCCCCCTCGGCGCACTCCCCAGTGGACCCGGAAGTGGACCCTGGAAGTACTTTTGGTCCATTTCTGGGTGCGCTGCTGAGCACATGGAGAGCCCCACCCCACACTCCTGTGGGACACTCTATGCAACCCAGCATCGCAGCAATCATGAGCAGTGCCTGCTGCATAAAAGTATGTTGAAAAACTTTTAAAGCTGTGTCTGTGTCTGAATCGCTGATTCTCTGAATCAGTCTCAAATCTTCAGATTCAGATTTGGCTGAATCGAATCGGGGACAGTGTTCTGAATCAACTAATTGAATCACTGTTCCTGATTCAGGCTGAATCCAAATCCAAATCGAATAGGGCCCATTTCTCACACCCCTAGTTAAAGGCACAAATGGGAGGCCCATAACTTCTGTGGCATGTCCTTTTAGGAGGAACATCAAGGAACGTTCTGGAAGCACCTTCTAAGCCATTAAGAAACTATTTTGTCTTTCCATGTAAGGAGCTAACATCAATGATTCCCCTCTTTCATTCCAGGCAATGAGACAGTTGAGTCTTGGTATTTCCTGCCCATACCCAGCCCACAGCTGGGATTAACTATCACATGCAATGGGTTCTGACCCACACGGAGGAACAGTCAAACCCTCCCAGCCTCTCTAGCAGTGCTGCTTATCTTCAGAGGTATAGCATTTCAGCCATGGACAGACATCCAGCCCTGCTGCACCCCCTAGCTGAAGTACCTCAAAATCTCTAGCCAGGGGTATGGCAGGGGGAACAGAACAGGCCATCAGTGAAGCTTTGCAGCCCCTGGTCTCCTGGGGCCTTTGACTCTGCTCTACCCCAATTCGGGCAGCATGGGGCCTTGAGCCTCTTGTTTCTGGAAGGGGGCACTTCAGGAAAGTGGAGATAGAGCTCATAAGAGAGCACTCACTGCTATGGTGCTCTGCTTACTCCTCCCCATGTGAGGTGGGGTGGAAAGCAGAACACTGGAGGATGCTAGAGGACCCAGGGGTCCTCTGTTACAGGCTATAGACTGTGTATGTGTAAGAAGTAGCACTTAGGATCATAGGACTATAGGAAAGTAGAGCTGAAAGGTGTAGCCATTACAGCCATTAAAGACACAAGCTGAGAATACTGCTCAAAGAATAGCAAGACTGAGGAGAAGGGGAAAGAAGAGCAAGGAGAAAATGCTTTCATGCCTGGTAGCATTCTGACAGAAGACAGCTATAGTGGGCATGCATGGAACATTACCATGGATAGAAGAATTGACTGCTGACCTGGCCAAGAGTGGTATTTTCCAGGCCAGGAATGCTGTGATGTTTCAGGAATGACAGAATACTGAGCCTACCAGTGAGGCAGTTGGCATGGTGGGGCAGATTACACTTGATACTAATGCAGAATCTCCATGCAGAGAGAAACACATGGCAATTCTCTTACAGATGCCCTCAGCCAGCAGATGGAGAGCATCTGAGCTCTGCCCTGTTTTGCTGTAGGCCACAAGTCTTCCTTCCACTGGCCCAGAGGCATCATATCCATCACAGACCCAGACCTACCCATAACCAGTCCCATTGCACATTCCCGCAGAACAAACTTTGGACCCTGGACAGCTTCCCCTACCCATGCCTTCCAGTTACAGACCTTTCTCCTATGCCCAAACCTTCCCCTGCCATCTTCTTGCATATAATCAAAACAGGGAGTGCAGATACCAGCAAACTGAGATCAGTGATAAGTCTACGAACTGGGGAAGTTTGGGAGCAGGTGAAACGTAGTTGTCCTTGTCATACTGGTGGAAGAAACAAGATTCAGGAAGAGAGTGTGCATGTAATAAATGTGCAGGTACATAGAACTATAGTACTCTTCTGCCACTGGCAGGGAGTATTTTCTTTGAAACAGCAAAGAGGGGCTGGGAGTAGAACATATAAATGCCCCTTTACAAAAAACTGAGTCTGATTCATTAAAAGTAGCGCCAAAGAGCAATTACCATAATTCTAACAATATTCCTGTATCGGACCTAATTTTGGTTCCTGGTCTTTATCAGCAAGAAGCAATAGCTTCTTTAAAATGTTTTAAAATCAAAAGTTGTAGACTTCGTATTTCAGACAGTCCATCCCTTGAGCAGATTAATTCTTGGCTTTGTAGTAAATATTCTGTGTGGTGATTTTTGTTTAATCACCAAGCAAATTGGTTTCAGGTCTGCTCCAAGACATTTTTATTTCCTTCTTATGAAACCATCTCAGTCTGCCAGCAGAGAGGCATGGAAAGGAGAGAGGAGCTACAGACAGTGTAATATCATAACCAAAGTGCACAGTGTAGTATAATTCCTGTGTCTGTTTTCCCAAATGAGGCTGACAGTTCAGCTTTAGCAACCCTGGCTCAGTTCCAAGATGTACTCTTTGTTGTATGTGTTCAGTTCTGATGACAGGCATAAACCCTGTGCAATGACCTGTTTCCATTATTCATACCCAAGAAAAGGAGGATAGAATTGAGGAGAGTTGTGCTCAATTTTGTGCTTTGCTGCCATCCTACCATGTGTCTGTCACTTACTTGGTTTCCCACAGATTGGTATCTGTAAAATCAGGATGCTATTTACTTTGCTCACATGGGTGCTCTGAAGTCTTACTGGTTATGCTCTGAAGTCTTACTGGTTATGCTTGACTTCAGACTAATATGGCTAACTATGTCTCTCTGTTTATAGATTGCACCACACCCAGCAGAATGAAATGGACTGACAAAGTGCTTTGTGCTTCTAGATCACTTTTAAGTCACAGACTTCAAAGTGGTGGTTTTAGATTTCTTGTTGCATATTTTCTTCCTACGAACACTCAGTTGTTTTAGCATCAGTAATAGAAATACAGAACAAAATTTTTTAAAAGTCAGAGTCAGGGTAAGCCTTCAAAGTCCATGGTTAGACACCTAAAAGATTAACTTTTTTTTTCAAGATTATTGAACAGCTAACAAATTCTTTGAAGAGAACTGTTTTTTATCTATGCATTACATTTCCCTTTGATTCATTTCCTTTGATTCTCTTTCAATTAATGTCCATATGTTTGAGAAACAACTTGGTTACTTATAGAAGCATTATGTTTTGCCTGAGTCCCTGCTTGAAAGATGTATTGAGGAGAAGTCAAGTCAAATAAACAAGGTTTACATGTATTTCCAAATATGTGGAGGCCTGGACTAAAAGAACAATGCAAGTATTTTGTTTGTATATTAGAAATTATAAGTAGTATTTTTAAATATACAGATTTAAAAGGCTTTTTGCACAATTGGGCATGAGTTACATATTAATATTAAGAAATATTTATGTACAATTAAAAGTTGCTTCCTGATTGGATAATTTCACTAAAATGGTTTCTGAAGCCTACAGTCTTCTACCTATGGCATGTGCTGGCATCTGATGTCATAACTGAAGGTATCTATGGCAACTTTCCATGGTACAAATAAATTATTTTACATTAGGATGCAACCTCCTTACTCGGCACCTGAGAAGAGGCACAGATGGGCAGTGTAGCTTATCCTGTGATTGTTGCCAATTACAGGCAAAGTCCTACCAGGAAGAAAAAGGTAGATACTGATCACAACTCAAGGAACAAACAACCACCTGGTAAGTGTTCCTAAAATTAAATGTTTTACCTATCAAGTTCAAATGTAATTATTAATGGGCTTTATAACCTTGTCTCTCTCAAGAAGCATCTCAGAAACTATCCATTAAATAAAAAAGAAATATGCATCAGAGAATCTTAGAAAAATAGGCTGGAAGGCCCAGGGGATCACCTAGTCCAATCCTTTGTTCAAGGCAAGAGCATCGCTGTCCAACCATTTCAACTAAATGTTTGTCTGACTTGCACTTCAAAACTTTCAGTGATGTACATTCCTCTAGGTAATCTTTTCCAGTGCTGAATCACCCTTATTGCTAACCTATATTTCCCTTGTGCAGAGTCATCATTAGCTAAGTTAGTCTGAAGTCAGGCTAGAGGTACACTTTATAGTCTGGCTGAATAACTGAATAACAGAATAGAGGTGCACCTTATAGACTAACTGAATCAGAAATGCATAAGACTTTCACTTCTTGTCCCATCCCATATGGATGCTGAGAACACCCGATTACAGCCCTTTTTTTGTATTTTCATTTTTAACATAAGACCATATAAGTGTCTCTTAAAACCTTAGGTCTATAAGTTGCAGGCCAGCAGACTTGTGAAATGATAAGGGTTTTGTATTAATCTGAGCAATAAATGGCTGTGGGAAAGCAATGGAGGATCTACAGCTGTTTGAGGCTCAGCATAGCATAACTTTCATTTCCATTTTGCTTTTTACTACAGCACCTCATGTTGATAACAAACCCCCTAAAGTACAGATACACCATCACTTTAAAGTGAGCAGGATTCAGGTACGTAGCCATTTCTGAATTGGTTCAGTTCTCTCCTGTATTAATCTAAGTCTATTCAGCATGGTTTACACAGTGCCAGGCAGGGCCAGCGGGGGGTGAATCAGGCCCCTAGCGGGGGGCGAATCAGGCGACCACCCCAGGCCCTGTGTTTTGGGGGGCCCCGCGGAGCCAGGTGGAGCGACACAGTAACTCTGCGCTGCTGTTGGCTTTGTGTCTGGCCACTTGGCATCTGCCCTGCCACCCCCACCGCCAAATACGCCACCAACTTCTTTGCGTCCAGGGGCAGGGCCCCGCACCCTGCTCAGGTTATCTCTGGTGCCAGGTATACCAAGTAATACTTTAGACGAGGGAGTTTTGGTTTCTTATAGGCTTGGTGCTTCAAAGATTCAATTAGAAAGGGATTGAAAGGAGTGAGAAGATGAAGATGATGACAGTAGAAGGATTCAGCATGCCCCTTAGTGTCTTTAGAATACATGTATAATTTGGATGAAGGATGGTTAGAAGGAGTGAAGGGAAGGGGGCAGTTGTGTTAAAATGTAGGACAGGACAGTGGCTTTGGATGTGATGGAAGGCACAGCGGAGTTTGGAAGGTGAGAATAACTGGTAATGAAAGATATATGCATGGGGATGATGGACAGTGGCAAGGGACTATGACAGGAAACTAAGCCAGTAAAATGCCTCTTGAGGAAAGCTCTGAAGCAGGAAATTACAAAATTGGCATCTCTTGCACAGGAAGACCAGAAAAGAATTGCTAGCATTGAAAGAGAAAACAAGAAACTTTTGGAGAAGTTAGCTGAGATATACCGTGGAAAAGGGATAGTGGATTGCTGGAATGAATACCGCCAAAAGAGGTAGGTGGCAGTATTGTTTGTATTACAAACACACCCAAAAGGTTTCCTATTGTGCTGGACACTGAGCAGAGTTATGAGACACACTCCCATTGTGAAGAACCTGACAACAGAACAGTGTTAATTAGTGATCTGTAATTTCCATTCATGGTATTCCCTGAAGTTACACCTTTGTGACACGATACATTTTGAGGCTAAGGTATTTCTGTAGAAAAGACCCTCAGAAAGTTGGGAAAACATCCACATTTCAGCTTAAAAGGGGCCATTTTTGCCAGAGGAAGCTGGAGTCACTACCTAAGTGGAAGCAGCACCTACCAGTGCCAGCCTCCATGGAAATCACTTCTACTGTATCTTGAAAGATTGGCCGGCAAGGAAGAGAATAGGAAAATGAAGTTACTTGCCAGGAACTGATGTTCTTCAAGAGGTATTGTCTATATATACATTCTTGCTGGCAGCTAGGTCTCATGCCCATGCACTTTAACCAGAGACTTTTTGCCTTAACTGTATTTATAGTGTGTGCTTCAGCCCTGGCTATCACATTACACCCACACTGAAATTATAAAAGGCAGTGTGCACATTCTGCTCCTCAGTTCCTTCTCAACTGCAGGAGGGAACTTTGTATACTGTATATACTCCTACACTATAAGGAAGTCAGGATGCAAGTGTGATTGGACAATATATCTCAAAGAACTCAGTTACTGGAAAGCAACCTTGTTTTTTCCATTTGAGTAAGTGTCTACGTACACATTTTCACATTTGGGCAGCGGCAGATCCAGAGGGGGTGCAGTTGCATAGTCGCACTCCTCCCCTGTTGGACCTTGCTGTGGGAGCAGCATGCAGTATCTGCTGCTGTTATCCTTACTGTCTCCAGCTGCCCCTCTCCAGCTTGGCTGTGTGGAAAGCTAGGTGCAGCTGGGTCCCACTAGATGTTCCTTGCCAGCCCAGAAGTGGGAGAAGGGACAGAGGAACCCCCCCTGCTGCCACGGCCACTGGCCAAGCCTGGCTCTTTCTATAGGTTCTCCACAGCCCTGGATGGAGTGGGGCAGAAGATGCCAAGACGATGGTGATGGTGGATGGGTCTCCTTGCATCCAGAAGCATAAGTAGAGAGGGTGAGGGAGGGAATGGGAGGGCAAGGGAAACATTTCATGTGATCCTGTATGGGTAATCAAGGAACAGCTCCCTACTTAATATAAACAGAGTTTTTATTATAGCAGTTTCTTACAGAGCTGTTACAGGGCCTGCTGTTCTCCACCAGCCTGTCTAACTCTGTTGTTTTTCTTGTTTCCTCCCCTCTCATTTCCTGTTCCTCCTTCAGACTCCTCCTTTCTGCTGCTGCTGGTTTTGCCTCTGAGATCCATACATGTTGTTACATCTTTCCTTTCAACAGTTGAAAACAGATGACTAACTTATTCCCTTGGTTGGGCCAGAGGTTGCTAGCATATAGCCCACCGTGGAGACCAAGCCTTTACCGCTGGTCTGCTGTGCTCTTTAGGGATCATAGTCATCCAGGTATGCTGGTCGTTGTACCAGCCTCCTGCTTCTTGTTTGTTTGATTTTTCTGGGTGCTATGCCTGCTTCTGTTCTGTCCATGTCTTTGTTTTGTGGGCTGGTCTCTGCTTGTGTATCTCTTTCCTTTGTGGAGTCCATGGCATCTTTCTCCCCTATCTGGGGCTCACCAATGACTGACCAGTTGTCAAAGTTGTCTTGGTCCTGATCCTGGGATCTTTTGCTCAGTTGTATTTCTGCTCTGCCAGCACTCCACAGCTGCTTCCGGTTACGTCTCAGTCACTGTCCACTATCTGTGACAGCTTCATAGGATCCATCTCCCACTGCACCCTCAATGGTGGCCTTTTGCCGTTCTTTCAGATGTGGATTTACTGGTTGTACCCAGACCTTTTCCCCTCTGCACAGTGGTCTCAGGTACCTGGCTCCTTTGTTATACTGTGATAGTTACTGAGACTGTTGCTTTTTTAGCTGCTTCCATGTACTGTCAGAGCTACTGGGATCACTACCCTGTCTCCACCTGGAATCTTATAGGTCTTTGCTGTAGCATGATTGTTGCAAATAGTCTGAGTTGTTGCCTGCTTTCTTCTGTAATTTGTGTATCCTGTGAGTCTGTGAATCCGTCAAATTTGCACTGAAAGCTTCCTCCTCATCTGTAGTGTCCTGATCCTTCATCACTGTGTGGACTGTGTTCTTTCTATTTGGGTGGCTACGACACTGACCCCTGAAATGATTCTCTCATCCACATTTTTTGCACTCTTTTCCATAGGCTGGGCATTTGTCCTTCTGCCTTTCATGTAGCTTCCCACAGTACATGCACTGAATCATATTGTTGGTGTTTGCAGTTGGCCTGCCAGGTTCCTGCTTTCCAGAGTCCTTTAGGTTGAGCCTGTGAACGTGCTCTGTACATGTGGCTGTTGATATCATTTTAATCCTTTGTTTAGACAATTCTACTGCCCTTGCAATTTGGTGACATTTTTCCAGGGTTAGATCTACCTCTTAGTAGTCTCCCCCTCAGGGCAGAGTCCCGTGTGCCACACACAATCCTATCCCTGATTAGGGAGTCTTTTATGTCTCCAAAGTTACATGAGGATGCCAGAGTTTTCAGTGCTGTGATATAAGCCTCTATTCCTTCCTCTTGGTTTCGGGTGAAAAACTGATCTTTCTCTACAGTCTCATTTTTCCTGGGGTCACAGTATGCATTAAATGCTTCTATTAACTGTTTGAGAGTGTCAAGATTCCTTGGCATCAGTGTTGCACTTACTTCACGGCCTTTCCCCCCTCCACTAGATAGTAAAACAGATTTACCTTCATTTTCTCTTCTTTATCAGCCCTGGCTAACTCTATTTCATCTCTCTTCCCCTCCTGGTTCTAGATTTAAAGGACCTATAACATTTCTATATGATGTGAGACTTGCCAAAATAGTATAAACAGCAGCACAAGTGAATCTGCTTCAGGGTTTGCCCCATTGAAGGAGAGGCACTTGTGAAACCCAGGGATTTTGGTGATGACATCACGATAGAGAGAGAGAGGAACTCTTGCTCCTGAAAAATGGTGATAATATACCTCAAAGAAAGAAATGAAGGGCAGTTGTTAAAGAAAGAAGATAAGGTATGGACCCTAAGACAAAGAACAGTGGAAGTGGGGGCAGGGGACAGCAAGGGTACCAATCCCAACCTAGGGGTTGAAGCTTTTTCCTTTTACTCCCAACAGAAAATTAGAGAAATAAGAGGTAGTAGTAAAATAAAATAAAGTATGAAATCTTAAAACAATCAAATCAGCAATTAAAATAGAAGCCAAGTGAGGGCTTTGTGTAGAGTGCGAAGCCCAAACCAGACAATCACCTCAGCTCCACCAGGGAATGGAGAGGAATGGAGATCCAGGAAAGGTATGCTACCCTTTATAGCCTTAGTGTGGGGGAAAATTAGTGGCACAGGTGATGCTTCCACTACAAGTACCACTAAGCAAAAAGTCTCTCAGGATCATAAGATACACCCACAATCAATATTAGAACAGGCCTCCAAATTCATCTAATATCCCCTGCACAAATGCAGGATTCACTTTTCCTAAAACATCCCAGACAAATGCCTATTCACCTCTTCTTAAAAACTTTCAATGACAAAGATTCAACAGTGTCCTCTGAGCAGCCTGTTTCACTGTTTTATTCTTCTGACAGTGAGGTGTCTTCTGATTCTTCTTTGCTGAAGTTTAAATCTATTGCTTCATATTCTGCCCTCTGTGATGAGGGAAGATAGATGTTCTCCCTTTTCCTTATGGCAGCCTTTAAAATATTTGAAAACTATTATCTTGTCCTCACATATTTTGCTTTTGCCCAAATTAAACATTCCTAGCTCTCTAAACATTTGCTTATGTGGCTTGCATTTCAACTCCTGTTTCGTCTTTGCTGCTGACCTCTGAGTCTCCTCTAGTTTCTCTATATCTTTCCTAAAGTGCAGAGCCAAGAACTATCCATAATACTCCAGCTGAAGCCTAACTTAGCAGTGAGAGACTATAAAAACATAAGAAGTGCCATATTAAGCCAGACTAATGATCCATGTAGCCCAGTATCCTATCTCCAACAGCAGAATGAAGCAGATGTTTTATAGGGAGAATATGCCCTCTATGTAATGCAGGGACAGGCAAAGTCCAGTCCATAGGCCAGATCTGGTTGGCAGCGGACTCCATTTCCCAGCCACCCCTGCACATGACTGGGGCTGGTCTCCATGGAGACCCCAGCTGTAGCTGAGCTGTGAAAGCGCAAGGCTGGAGTTGCTGTGGAGACCAGCCCCAGCTGCACTGGCAGGGCACACTGCAGAGCAGGGCAGGGGCTGCTCCAGAGCCGCTGGGATCTTGCGATGGGGGCAGCTTGCTCCAGAGTTAGGGCACAGCTGCGATCTGAAGGAAGAACTTCTTTATGGTAAGGGTGACCAGAATCTGGAATAGACTTCCCAAGAAGGTGGTTCAGTCCCCAACCTTGGAAGTCTTCAAGAGGAGATTGGACAGACACCTTGCTGGGATCACATGATATCGGCAGTATTCCTGCCCAGAGCAGGGGGGTTGGACTCAATGATCTTTCTAGGTCTCTCCCAACCCTTATTTTCTATGATTCTATGATATATGTGCATGGGTATTAGGGCACAGTAAATTAATTAACTCCTCCATAAGATAGTACTATCTTACAGCGGAGTAATTTACTACGCTGCAACTCATGTGAATGGTGACTGGGACAACAACACTTTGAGCTGGGGCATAGCAGCTCTGGGCAGGCAGCAGGCTCAGGGGGTCAGCCACATGGCTCTGCAGTTTTGGCACTCCTGTGCTCCAGCCAGCCCCTCTTCTACCCGACCCCACCATCTGGAGCCTGGGGCTAACCCCACAAGCCTGTTGCCAGCCCAGGGCTACTCTGGCTAGGCTCAAAGTGCTGATATCTCAGGTGCACGTATGGATGCTGTGCCTAGCAGCAGTGTACTCCGGAGCAAACTCTGTTTATCACATTGCA